GGCCCTTCCTGCCTGGCTGCTCAAGGCTCAGCGCCTCCAGCACCAGGCCAGCCGACCTGACCCTGAAGGAGAGGACGTGGCCACAACCAGGCTCCAGGACCTGGCTGTCCCAGGTCACCAGCCTCAGGGCAGGTGTGGCAGCCGTGGAGCTTTTCCTTTTCTTCCTTTCAAAAGTTCCTGTCCTCCCACCTCACCGTGCCCTGTGTCCTCCCTCTGGGCTGGCTGAAGGGACACAGCCTGGGCAGTGCATCGTGGCAGTGTGCCGCCAGCAGCAACTCAAGCCACTCTGAGATCGCTGAGATGGACTCGAGGGCCCTCCACGCTGCGCGAGAAGGTGACATGTCTCAGTTCAGTCCTGCCGAAGCAGCACTGTGGAATGTTCGATGAGTGCTGTTGTTACCAGTTCAAGAAAGGCATCAGTGAAACCTGGGCGTGGTGACCTGGGCCTGCAGTCCCGACCACTTGGGAGGCTGAGGCAGGGGGATCTCTGGGGCCTAGGAGTTGGAGGCCAGCCTGGGCTCTGCAGGGAGACTTCGGCAGGGCGGGCTGGGGACAGGAAAGATGTGGGAGGTGGCTGCAGGGCTTCATTGATCGACCACCAGCCACAGCGGGGCCCGGAAGGACAGTCCTGCATCTGCCCCTGAGGGAACCCAGGACCACAAGGGTGCTGCTGTCCTCACTGCCTCTCCGTGACACAAAAGGAGCCAAGTCTGAGCCCCTCGAAGCACGACCCTTGGCACCTCCAGATGTGCAGGCTGGGGCAGGTCAGCCCCCTCTGGGTTGTGCGATCACTGCCCATCTGGACAGCGGCTGCGAGCCTGTGCGGGATGGTTCTGGTGAACCCAGAACAGCGCAGCCGCTAACCACGAGACTGGAGAGCAGGTCAAAGCCAGCTCACAAGCGCTTCGCCAGTGCGCCACAGAATGGCAGGAGAATAGGTAAGGACACACTCGTTCCTATCACAGAGGCAAGAGAAGGACAAGCAGCAGCCGCTGCCATGGGTCCACCGCGCCCTCCTGAGAAGGTGGAAGAGGAGGGAGAAAGCTCACCAGTCGGTTCCTACTGATAGACCCAGGAGAAATGGCAGGGTCAGGGCCATCCCTTAGTCACCATTGTCCGTAATAAACAACTCAGGCCAAGGATCACCCATGGGTGACAAAACCACGAAGTGAAAGGTGGTTGGGAAGTAAGACATTGTGCCTGTGTGGTGGAGCACACCTGCAGTCCTGCAGTCTGGGAGGCGTTGGAGCCCAGCATGGGCACTTTAGCAACTTAGGACGCCCTGTCTCAAAGATAAAAAAGCAAAAAAGGGCTGAGATGTAGCTCAGTGAAAAGGCCCCGAGTTCAGTCCCCAGTGCCACCAAAACAGAAAACAAAAAAGGTCAATGCCACGAAAGACCAGCAGAGTGAACAGAGTGTGTGCGTGCATGTGTGTGTGCCTGGGGATGGAGCCCAGGGTCTCATGCATGCTAGGCAAGTGCTGTAACCCTACCGCTCTGCCCCTCCCTTCGAAGGCCTTGTATTACTAGTGACAAGGTCTCACAAAGTCACTACATTACTTAGGCTGGGCTCGAATCCTCCTGCCTCAGCCTCCCGAGTAGCTGGGATTGATACAGAAGAAATCTAACTCCGACCTGCTGAATGCCAGGTGTGCTGAGTTTGTGTCCCCTGAGAACGGAAGACTGAATTCCTGGGGCAGCGGAGCCAAGAATAGGCAAGGTTCACTGAGAGACAGAGGGGCCCGCCTGGGCAGCCACCACAGCCCACCATCAGGGGAGATTTACACAGCAAGGTCACAGCACGGGTACAACTGCAGGACGACAAGGACGCGTGAGCTCATACTGACCCAATGGGGAAGCGCATGGCAGGGTGCAAGGGAAGAACAGGGCATTCTGGGAAGGGAGGGAGCAGTCGGGGTGTTCTGGTTGCTGCTTGTGCCTCTGTGCCCAGCTGGTCACAGCACAGCCTCGGGTTCAGGCTCTGCTGCAGAATTCTAAAAGGACAGAGCGACCAAATAGGAGCCAGGAGGACTCACTAGGTGCACACTGCCCCAGCCGGGCTCCCGTCCAAGGTGCCGGGCGACCGACACAGGAAGGTTCCAGATCCACATACTTGGTCCGAGGGGGGTGGGGGGATGGACCAGCGCTTCAGGCTTGTAAGAAGACAGTCTCAGGAATCCCATGATGGGCCGGGGGATTTAGCTCAGTGGTTTTGCCGCCTGCTGCGCAAGCGCAAGGACCCGAGTTCAATCCCCGGTACCAAAAAAACCAGAATAAGATCATGGAATCCTATGAGAACAGCGTGTCAAGGACTCTGTTCACAGGACATAGTTGTCTACAGAGCATATGGTTCCTCCGGGTTACAAAACTGTCTTTTTTTTTTTTTTTTTTTTGAGTAGGAAATTTTATTGAGGGAGAGACAGCTCCTCAGAGAGACAGGAGGGGACCCAGAAAGTGGGTTGCCCACAAAACTGTCTTTATAGGACTGTGCCTGTCTACTTTATCAGTACGGGGGTTGGTGGTCACGGGAAGAGGGACAGAGCGTGAGTGGGGAGCTGCTAGGCCGCTTTCAGCGAGAAGAGCTGATTCTCCTTCAACTTCTGCTTTAGCTCCGCCTGGGGAGGTCCACACCTGGCCACTGGGTCTCCACTCACAATTCTAACGTCTTTATCTTTTTTTTTTTTGGTGCTGGGGATCGAACTCGGGAACTTGTGCTTGTGAGGCAGGCACCAGAACCACTGAGCTAAATTCCCAGCCCATGTCTTTATTTTTTGCACTGACTTCCCTGAGGGCCCAGCCCCTCTTTGATGGTATATTTATTTCTATCTAACTTAGCTGCATATAATAGGCTGACAGGTGTGTGCACAGTTTAAAACTCCTTTCTTCCTGGCACTGGGGAGTGAGTGTTCCCAGAGCCCTCACACTAAGCCACATCCCCAGCCCTATTTATTTATTTATTCATATTTTGAGACAAGGTCTTCCTAAATTGCCCAGGTTGAGCTCAAATTTGCAATCCTCCTGCCTCAGCCTCCCGGAGTGCTGGGATGACAGGCACCACAACACCTGGGTTCAAAAGGGGTTTTTTTTGGTACTGGAGATCGAACTCGGGACCTTGCACTTGTGAGGCAGGCGCCGGAACCACTGAGCTAAATCCCTGGCCCTCAAAAGTTTTCTTTCTTGGCATCTCACGCTCCCCAGTTCCCTGATGCTGTTACACCTCCATGGTCGTAACTCTTTTGATGGCTTCTTTGCTGTTTTCATGATCTCTGGCTCTTATGAATTCCTTTGTTTGGGGGGGGCAGGGTTCCCTTCCAACGCGAGCCATCTATGACCCCGGGGAGCCCCTAGGATGACGCTCGCGTCACTGGGGACCTCTGGGCAGGCCTGTCCGTGGCTCCGCTGGGGCATCTTCTTCCCAGAGGGTCACGAGAGGCTCCCGCGGTCTTTCCCGAGAGAAGACTGATGGGAACGCTGGCTTCACCAGGCCCTCACCCCAGCGAGGCCCCTCGGCCGCCCATGCCTCCTCGGCAGAGCAGCCAGCTCAGGCGCTGCCCTGCTGCTCCGGCACTGGAGCCTGAAGCCATTCCCACTGCCCACACTGAGCAGCTCCCGGTGCTGCGGACTAAGCGCACCCGGTGCCCCAGACCTGCTGTACGGAGCTTCGCCTCCCCCTTCCCTTGTCCACCCAGGGTCTTGGGGATGAGTGTGTGGCGCGGTCGCTGGTTCCACCCACCGCGGCCCTCGGGTCTCCTTCGTGCCCTGGCAACCCGCGCTCAGATGCCGCCCTGGCCGCTTCTGCCAGGCACGCACACCCTTCCCCAAAGCCTTACGCTTCAGCCGGCCAGGCCTGTCCCCATTTTGGGAGTGCTCCTTCCGGGAGCAGAGGCATCCTGGGCGTTTCCCAGCCAGCATCCGGCAGGAGCAGCAGAAATTAAGCCCTAAATTCAACGTTCGTAGTTTTATAAAAAGGAAGAATGGTGCTGGCGCACGCGCAGGAAGCGCCGGTCTGAAGGCCGTTACGTGACGGCTCAGCGTGGGCTCCTGAGCACTGCTCGAACAGGCCCAGCTCCTGGGGAGCGTGTTGGCAGCTTATGACCCAAGCATTCTCGAAGACGAGGCAGGAGGGTCCCGTGCTGCAGGCCAGCCTGGGCTATCAGTGAGTCCTCGTGTCAGGAACAAACAAAAACAGCTAAGCTCTCTTAAGTTTTTTTTTTCTTTTTTCTTTTTCTTTTTTTGGTACTGAGGATCGAACTCGGGACCTTATGCTTGCGAAACAGGCGGCGGAACCACTAAGCTAAATCCCCAGCCCTCTCTGAAGTTTTTTGCAGGCACCTAGTTTTATTTGTCTCGTTCATATTTACAATGACTTATTTTGTTAGTTACTGACTTTTCCGCCCAGATGTAAGCCCTGCGAGGGAAGGGATCTGACTACTCTTCAGGGTGGGCGGGAAACCTGCCTGGCCCATCACCCGCACTAGAGCACGTTACCACCCTGTGCAGGCACCAAGCTACCTGACCATCCCACATTGTGTATGACCAGGGTAAGCCAATGAAACAACACATTTAAAGGAGTCAGACAAGGACCCGAGTTCGATCGCCGGTACCAAAAATAAATAAATAAAGGAGTCAGGATGTACGCCGGGACCGGTGGCGCACACCTGTCATCCAAGCACTGAGGAGGCTGAAGCAGGAGGATCCCCACAAGGTTGAGGCCAGGCTGCGCTACATAGAGTTCAAAACCAGCCGGGACTACACAGCGAGGCCTTGTCTCAAAAAACCCAAAAGAGTGGTTCTAACTCTGCACTCCCAACCACTGCATCAGTCGTTATCTGGTGAGCAGCGCGAAGACCGACACGCCAGGCTGACTTAGGGGAGGACTCCAGACTTGGGGAGCCGGACCGCCCGCCCCGACCTTTGCACCGGAAGCGCTTGCACCTCCCCCGCGCGAGTGCGCACGCGCGGCCGCCGGGGTTGCTCGGGGTCGAGAGCGGCGCGGGGCGGGAGGGAGGTTCCGCCTCCGGGACGGGCGGCGCGTGCGCCCTCGGGGCTCTCGTCGGGACGCGCCCGCTCCCGTGCTTGTTCTCACCGGGGCTGGACGCGCGCGCCCTCGGGCCGGGAGGAGGCGGGCGGCGCGGGAGGGGCGGGCGGCGCGGCGGAGGCGCGGACCCGAGAGCGGCGAGGCCCAAGATGGCGGACCGCTTCTCTCGCTTCAACGAGGACCGCGACTTCCAGGTAAACGCGGCGCCGCGGCGGGGCCCGGCCCTCCCTCCGCCACCCGGGCCCGCCTTCGCTGCCTCTGCGGCCTCGGGGCCCGGCCGGCGACGAGGCCGCGTCCCGCCCGTTCGGGCTGCGGGCGCTCGACTCCAGTCTCTCCCGGCGGAGGCGCCCTTATTGTCCCCTTCCCTCCCGCCCGGGCGGATCGCGGGGCGGGGGCGCGGCGGAGCCCCGCAGTCGGCGGCGGGCGGGGCTGGGCGGCCTGGAGCCGGGTGGTTCGTCTTCCGGCCAGCGGGCCGCGGCCGTGTGGCTCTTGTAGGTGATTGTAAAGAGAAGCGCTGCTGCCGCGAAGCCAGTGGTTTTAGAGGAGAGGGTTTCAAGGTGACCTGATAAGTTGGGAGTAGACGACGTGGACAGGTTTTGAGGAGAGGAGGCTGGCTGTCAGCCACGGCGTTTCAGCCGCGTCTCCGACCCAGGCTTGGCAGGGCCCTTGGAAGAAGACTGAAAACTGCATAGCAGGGTGAATGCTGCTGTCATCTGAAAAAATGGAGGTGGTGATCTGTCTTTGCAAAACCCTGTTTCCAAGTAAGGTGACCCCTCTTCTGTGCTTCAGTTGCTCACTTTACTGCATTTCCTGCTTTTTATGTTAAAGTATCCCACTCCCGGCTGTGTTGGGCCAGCCCGCAAAACGTCTGTTTTTTAAATTCAGATGCCCTAGCATTTGGGGTAAATAGGGTATTAGAAATGGAAATCTTGGGCCGGGGATTTAGCTCAGTGGTTTCGCCGCCTGCTGCGCAAGCGCACGGACCCCAGTTCGATCCCCGGTACCAAAAAAAAAAAAAAAAGGAAATCTTTTAGACAATTACAAGATATGAAATCCTTTGTGAACTTCTTTTCTCTCTCCCTTTCTTCTCTCTCTGTCTCTCTACCTGTAATGGGGATCAAATCCAGCGTTATGATTCCAGTCAACAAGTGTTTTTGAAAGAATGCCTTTTAGAAATGTTAGCATAATAATTTACAAAAAGGTTGGAAATGTAGCTCAGTGGTAGAGTGCTTGGCTACCATTTGTGTAACCCTGAGTTTAGTCACTAGTAGCACAAAAAATTAAGTGAAATAAAAAAGCCTAGTGTGGTATTTTTTTTTTTGTTTTTCTTTTATCAGTTGGTACTCGGGATCAAACCCAGGGGCTGTCAGTGAGCTAGTTCTCAACCCCCTTTTAAAATTTTGAGACAGGGTTTTGCCCAGGCTGGCCTTGAACTTTAAAGTCCTCCTGCCTCAGCCTCCAAAGTAGAGTAGCAGGGATTACAGGCATGTGCCACAGAGCATAGGCCCTAGATGTTTTAATAAAGGGGAAAACATTGGCTTTCATTAATGATGATCTTTGATTTAAAGTTTATCGGAGAGAGAAAAAAGTATGTGTCATAGGCTGCTCCTATGTGGTAATATCTGAAACATTTTCAAGTTCAGATGATTCAGGATAAATGATACTGGTCCCCATGGCCCATACCTGTACTCCCAGTTACTAAGGAGGCTGAGGCAGGCAGATGGCAAGTTTAAGGACAGGTCCCCCGCCCCCCACCGGGTACCAGGGATCAAACTTGGGTCCTTGCACTTGCAAGGCAGGCAGCAGAACCACTGCGCTAAATCCCAGGCCCAAGGACAGTCTTGACAACTTAGTGAGACCCTGTCTCAAAATAAATAAGGAATGCTCAGTGGTAGAGCATCCCTAGGTTTGAATTTCAGTGCCACCAAAGAATGAATAAAATTTAAATGTGAGCTCCTTTTAAGGTTTTAAGTGATAAATCATGCAACACCGCTAATTCCATGGGAAAACAAGTGCATGTGTGTTAGCTTTGCAAACACAGTAGACAGATCTCATTGCTTTGAAAAGATCGTATACACTGGAGAGTTCTCTGTCCAGTTTCCCTGGTAAGCTCTAGGTGACTCATTTTCTTTGCCTTTAATTTGTCAAGGAATTTGAAATTTCAGAATTTCATTCTTTACTGTTTTACTGTTTCAAAATGGTTTAAAGTTTCAAAAGTTTTGTTGTTGTTGTTTTGTTGTTATCAGTTTTTCAGGGCTGGGGTTGAGATCACTTAGACCAATGTGGTCTAGGGCTTACTGCTGAGCTATTCTGCAGCCCAAAGGCGTTTTGTGTATGAGGAGCAGTGTAGAGAGGTGAGGGATGCCTGGTGTGTGGGAGGCCCTGGGTTCAGTCCCCAGCAGCGTGTACACACGTGTGGGTGTATACACACATAGAGAAGCTTAACTGTTCTGCACCATTTGAAGCACTTAATAATTTTTTTAAAAATCAGTAAAAAATAAATAAATACACAATCAGTAACTTTAGTATAATAAGCAGGTACTTTTCTACGGGCTTTGCATGTATTGTCTCATAATAATACAAACACAAGGCTGTGCCCATGCTAGGCAAGTGCTCCATCCCTGAACACACCTCCAGCCACTTTTGTTTTGTTTTGTTTTTCTTTTTTGGTATCTGGGATCGAACTCAGGACTTTGCACTTTCAAGGCAGACGCCGAAGCCACTGAGCTAAATCCCCGGCCCTCCAGCCACTTTTTTTTTTTTTTTGCCTTTTACATTTTTGTTTTTTGAGACAGGGTCTTGTGCGGTTCAGGCTGGCCTTGAACTCACTGTGTAGCCCAGGCAGGCCTTGAACTTGTGGTGATCCTCCAGGCTCACCCTCCCAAGTGCTGGGAGTATAGGCATCCACCAGGCCCCAGGCTCTAGCCACTTTTAAATGTTATTTTATGTTTGTAATCTAGGCTGGTGTGTGTATGTATGTGTGTGTCTCACATGATTTAATTTTTTTTTTTTTTTTGTACCTGGGATTGAACTCGGGTCCTTTTGCTTGCAAGGCAGGAGGCAGAACCACTGAGCTAAATTCCCAGCCCGGATTTAAATATTTTATGATCTTTAACTACTCCTTTAAAAATCTGACCTGGATTTCTGAATGAGACATTACTTCTGCTTGCATTTACTAGATATATAGGACCTATTTGTTTGCAGATTGAAGTCTTGTACAGATTAATGGAAAAAATGTATGTGATTTTTTTTTTTTTTTTTTTTTTTGGTACCGGGGATCGAACTTGGGTCCTTGCGCTTGTGCAGCAGGTGGCAAAACCACTGAGCTAAATCCCCGGCCAAAAATGTATGTGATTTAAGACTCAGGTGTGCTCATCCTGGATTTCCAGATTCATTAAAGAAAAACATCCCTGTGCATGATGCACAGCTAGAGGGTGCTGTTAAGAGACTGTGCTCTCTGGTGTTCTGTGGTCGTGCGTGACCACAGGGACGCTGCAGCCAGTGCTCCTGAGAGGTGTTCGTCAGTGTGTGTTTTTGTGGAGCACTGCTGGTCCTTCTTGGAGTGTCCCTGTGTTCAGTGTTCTGGGGTGCTAGTGCATGGGAGGCAAGAGCTCTACCATTCGGACAAACCCTTAGCCCGGTGCCAGAGTTTCAATGAGAAGGCACTACAGTAATAGATTAGTGTCAAGGTGAGCAAACAAGGGATGCCACTTTGGGAGGTACCAGGCTTGACCTGAGTGCCCTGCCCTGCTAGAGAGGTGCCCCCCCCCAGCATTTTGAGATGGGGTCTCACTAAGGTGCCTGGCTGGCCCCCGACTTTCTGTCTTTCAGAGGAGTGGGATTACAGTGGGATTACAGGAGCGCACCACCACCCCGACCAAGATGCATTACCCAGTGGCCGTGGTAAAAACGTAAAGGTTGATCAGGCACTTTCTGTAGTTTATGTAAATAATCATGACCGTACAGTGCGTAGGTCTTGTATTATCTCTGTGTGGTGTGTGTCAGGTTTATTTTGGGGCTTTTGTTGTTTGCAGAGGCCAGGGATCAGACTCAGGGCCCTGACAGTGTAGGCAAGTGGTATGCCATGGAGTTACTACCCAGTCCCTCCTTTCGTGTTTCATGGTTTTTTTTGTTTTGTTTTGTTTTTGTACCGGGGATTGAACTCAGGACCTCGAGGTTGGGAGGCAGTCGGTGGAACCATCATGTTTCACGTTTGATAGCAGAACATGACCCTCAAGAAATTTTTTGGGGGCGAGGGACAGTTTGCGATAGGGTCTCACTATGTAGTCCATGCTGGTTCAAACCCCAGGCAGTCTTCCTGCCTCAGCCTCCCAAGGGCTGGGATTACAGGTGTGTGTCACCATGCACAACCTGAGAAATTCTTAGTTGAGACCAGTGAAGAGGTTCATAGTTCTAAGATAGTTAGTTCATAAAAGCATAATAATATATTTTCTGTATTCCTATGGAACCAAGTTGGCATTCTAGAGCCAGGCATGGTGGCGCACACCTGTAATCCCAGCATTCAGAAGGCTGAGGCAGAAAGATCACCTCAAGTTCAAGTCCAGCCTGGGTTCCACAGTAAGACCCTCCCCCCAAAGTTGGCATTTCCAGCAGGCATGCCAGAGATGACACATGGTGAGTGCTCTGCTCTTCATTTCCTGTGTCTCTCCCTCATTTGAAAGAAGTGCCGCAAGCAGTGAAAACTAATTGCAGCTTTAATCTTGACTGTCCCTTTCCTGTAGTGTGATAGGTGGAAAGGATTGGAACCAAGGAGGTACCAGTTTCAAAATATTGATGAGGAATACAGGTGCTTCTTAGCAAGTGCAAAGTGATGATCCTGCCGACCATGCGTTCTCAGGGGAGTAGGAGGGACCTCAGGAGTGAGGTCCCTGGAGCCGATGTGAAGGGCACAGGACCTAGAGCAAAGGCAGGAGCACTGTAACAGTGGGGTCCAGCAGGCAGTACCGCCATGGAGAAAGATGTTTATAACGGCACTTGGGTGCCAGTTCTGGGGACGGAACCTTGGGCCTTGTTCCTGCTTGGCCAGTGCCTTGCTGTGGAGCAATCTCCAGCCCCAGGAGGAAGGGGGCTGGGAAGAGCTGTGCCTTCTGGCTTCATGTGGTGGTGGTGCACTTTCTTGCTTTTGAAGTAGGCCTGGGAGCTGGGGCGTGGTGCCGCACACCTGTAATCCTAG